GGCAGGAACCGCGAGCAACCCCATAGTGGTCAGCAAACACCATCGCAGTGCAGGAGCTGGGTGAGGGAGATGTGAGAAGAGCCAATCCCGTAGTCGATTCTCCTATGGCCTTCGCGCGGAGTGGGCGGCAGCGACTCAGGAGGGCCAAAACAGGCATCAAAAAGACAAGCGTCACTCCACAAAGCTTCAAGAAAATCCGGCTCATCTTGCATGCGGTTGACATCACAGGGAATGAGATGCGGCAAACCTAAAGCAACCAGCTGCGCAAGGACCTCACCAACACCAATCAGGTTTGGAGTGGAAGGTGACGGTGACATCCACCAGTTTGATCAGACGATCGCCCCGCCGGATTTCAGTACGACCAGCAGCAATCTGGCCAGGGGCGGAAAGATCTTGAAAAGAAAGCGGGCATAGCGGTTGCTCGGCGACCAGAGCCACCCGACTAACCCCCCGAATCTGCTGAAACTGGACTTCCAGTTTGGAGGGATCACCCAAGTGGGCGCTACGGCCAGGCAGAACACGAGTAGCCCACTGCCTCGCAAAGGTTCCTGGCTGTTACGTCAGGTCCCTCGCCTATGGCCTCAGTCCAACACCACCTGCTCTGAGCGGCACCTCGCAGCACTCCCGGCACGCGCACGCACAATGCAATGCCCTTATCAAGATGAACACTGTGCGGCAGCGCGATCTGCACCCTCGGATAGCGCTCTGCAGACGCAAGCTGCGCAACTTCCTCAAACTGTTCTCCGTTCTCAACATGTACGACACATGCCTCGCCTTGTGTCCTTCAAGGTGCTGTGCAAATTCATCCGGATAACTGGATGTCCTAGGTCAGCGAGTGAACCCAACCACAAAGCCGTTTGCCACTTCCGACAACAGGTCAGTGCTTTTCGTCCTTGGAGGCCTTATTGACTAAGACTATGGCTTTGAAGCGGTCGAGCTCTCTGTCCTTGGCTTTCTTGAATTAAAGCCTGAAGTTGCGTAAGAGATCGCCAGCTGCACCTCCAGAAAGACGAGGTCCGCTACTGATGCGAATCGGGAACGGAGCACTTCGGTTGATCATGACTTTGATTGGCAACTCTAACTCTAACAAACGACGGCAAAGATCGGCAAAGCTGACCTTCGCACCGCGGGCAGTCCTGTTGATCTTCAACGCAGGCCACTGCTGTAACCAAAGACAGCAATGCCACCAGTGTGACCATGGTGACTTCAATCTTTTCCGCCTTGGGCGGCCTCATGTTGCACGCCGAATGCGGAGGCGCACACGACGATTCCAAGGAGTGCGTCTGCCGCTTGCTAAGCCCGCCGCGAAGCAAGCCAATGCCTCCGCCGAGTTTTGAACGAGATGCCACGTGTCTTGGCGGCCCCAGCATCCCAACAACCTGCCATTAAGGGATAAGGTAGCGATTGTGAAAGCAACAGCAGGGTGAAGGTCCCTTAGCTGGCCCAGCTGCTCCACTCGCAACTCGATCACAGCCGCTCCAGGTACTCGACGGCCGCCGTCGCCATCCTCACCGTCGCCAGCTCCCGAGCCATGTCAGCGCGTCTGCACCGAAACCACGCAGCAAGGTCCATCCATTCCAGTGTGTCTGCTGGGCTTCAACAAGCCACTCCTTAAGGATCAAAGGACTGTCGGTTCCGAGATGACAACTCTTTCAGATCCCTTGGTCGCCATCGTGCGAGGCAGACCCAAGGCCAGGCCTGCGTGCCGATCGTGATGGGCAAAGACCCAGCCAAGCCGGCGAGCGAAAGCTGAACCTGCAAGCAGCCCTGAGAGCAGCGCTGAGAGCAGCGAAGGGTGAAACAACGATATGATCAGCACCCCACGATAACAGGTCCACACCAACACAAGCGGGAGTGTCCTGCAGGAAGTAAGTCCGCAGGACCTCGGTTCTGAGCCACGCGAGGAAATCCTGCGGCATAACAGCCACACACGCAGGCCAAGTCACCTTGGGGATGACCAAGGTACGGATCAGTCGCTTTCTGTCCGCCATGGTACAGGCCAGCACTTTCATGCACAAGCGACAAAGACATGCCATGTGCAATCCTAGGATCAACAACGTCAAAGCTTATGCCCAAGACATCCAAAAGAGTGTCCTCAGGATACTCGAAAGTCTGCGCAAGGGCCGCTGTCACGAGAGAAGCTTCACGACCAGCAACGGAGCACTTGCGGGCGCGGCAGGCCAAGCCAAACATGAGGTCGAACACACGGCTGCGGTGGCACGCAGCCATCAGCGCACTGCGGCGCCTGTCATCGTGCCACCGCATCTATCAAAGAAAGTACGGTCGTCCAGGTACACCACAGCGTCAACAGGTGACGGAGTTTGCTCACCACAAGCAACACTGGACATCAATGCACCATGTACGGATGATCATTGCAGCACAAAGCGTCAAAAGCGGACAGCCTCGCATAAGGCCCCTGCTCGGAGACGTGCAGTGCAGGTCGAAGCAAGGTGCCCTTCACGGGCCTGGCATCGGGGTATAGGCTTTTTTTTGCCGCGGAGGCGCGCGGGACGCGGGACGCGGGACGCCGGGCGCAGAGCGCGGGGCGTGGGGCGCGGGGCGCGGGACGCGGGACGCGGGACGCGGGACGCGGGACGCGGGACGCGGGGCGCGGGACGCGGGACGCGGGACGCGGGACGCGGAACTATTACTATTTTTTTCTATTCCTATTACTATTACTATTACTATTACCATTACTATTCCTATTACTATATTACTATTACTATTACTATTACTATTACTATTATGACTACTACTATTACTGGGACGCGGGACGCGGGACTATTACTATTACTATTACTGCGTGCTTCTTGCCTGTCTGTGGCGGGCCCCTGGGCGGACCATTGTGGTTGCAACGTCGCTGTAGACAGTGCTTTCTGTCGGCAGTATAATGCACTGCGTAGTAGCCGGGGCGCGGGGCGCGGGGCGCGGGGCGCGGGACGCGGGACGCGGGACGTGGGACGCGGGACGCGGCGGCGCGAGGACGCACGTGAATTAGCCTATTATGTGGCATCGGCCTGCACCAGCAAAAGCAAATTAGCAACAGAGTCTTAAGAAGCGAGACAAGGTTTGTGATGGTTTGTGCCATCAACGTGGATTGACAGGATCGAGCTCAGCAGCCACGATACATCTAGCAACGGCATCTCTGGCTGCATGGCCAACAATGCCTCCAAATTCGTGTTGGTCGGACCACTCAAGAGCCCAAAGCCGCAAAGAACAGGCCACGTGCTTCGCACCTATCCTCCACAGAACTGAAGCAACAAACAGCAGATGGTAGCCTGAGCAGTCTTGTTTGGCCAGAAGGGCAATCTTAGCGTCACACCACGAAGGAACCTTGCTGTAGGATCAGACGTGCGGCCACAAACAAGCATATACTCGTTCTCAGCGGGAGTAACGTCAACGTGGACGCGGGCCAGCCGTCCGGCGCAAACGCACGGCTCTGCATGGATTTAGCAGGCCTAAGCAGGGTTTCCCAAACCATTCGATGTGCACCCGTTGCTGCGAAGGTCTGTATGGAGCTGACTCCAGCAACAGGTGCTCCAAACACCGGACCGCATTCTCTGCTGTTCCACCACACCACGGGCAGGGTGGGCAGCCGACTGGAGAACTTGATAAATCCTTAAAGGACTGTAATCCTGCTTGGGTGCATGCGCGATGTTTCCGGACTCGTAGCCGTACAAGCCCTGTGCCAGAGGACCTTGAGCCAAGGAGGCCGTGCGTTTGTTGGGCTGTCCCTTTCGAAGCCGTTCAATCTTCGACGAGAAATAGGAAGATTCGTGCTCAGCTTGCTGCCATTTGTTGCCAAGTTTTGCGTGATGTTCGATGCTTTCGCTTCGGTGCTGTCTGGGTAGGCTACGCATCGCCAAGGAAACTGCTGTCAGGCACCCTGCTCTCCGGGCTTCAGCAGGCAATCGAATGCTTGGCATCTTATGCATCTTGCTTCGCCGATGCAATCTCGCTCGTAGTTGCTTGCTTTGTCGCCTTGTGCTGCTTGGTTTGCCTGTGCGGGGGGGGGCTGCGCTGGCCGGGCTGCCCCCCACCTGTTGCCTGGTGTACCCGTGTTGCCGGCTGCAGGGGTTGGTATTGGCTGGAGGCTGGAGGTAGCCGTGCAGGCATATAACCACCAAACGAAGGTATGCGAACATGACATGCCGGAGGCCTGGAGGCCAGCGACGATGTTGCCCAATTGCGCACCAGGTGCTGTCCTCTGCTGCCCACGGCAGCATCCATCTTGAACTCCCGGCCTCTCTGGCTCCATGCCCCCGCGGCGAGAACCTCGCCGGTGCCCGGAGAAAAGACCAGGGTCACCAGGTGCTTCTCGGAGGTCAACACGCTCCACAAGTGCTTGGACCTCAAGTTTTTTGAAACTCAACTGGAAGTTCGCCTCCTTTTTTCTCTCGTTCTCTCTGCTTCTCTCGTTATCGTTTGTTTTTCTCTCTCGCTCTCTCTCTCTGTCTCTCTTCATCTCTCCCTCTCTTTGTCTCTCCCTCTCTCTCTCTCTCTCGGTCTATCTTCCTCTCTCCCTCTCTTTCTCTCTCCCTCTCTTTCCCTTTTTCTGTCACTCTCCCTTTCGCTGTCTCTCTCTCTCTCTCCGTCTCCGTCTCAGTCTGTCTGTCTCCCTCTCTCCCTCTCTCCCTCTCTCCCTCCCTCCCTCCCTCTCGCTCGCTCGCTCGCTCTCTCTCTCTCTCTCTCTCTCTCTCTCTCTCTCTCTCTCTCTCTCTCTCTCTCTCTCTCTCTCTCTCTCTCTCTCTCTCTCTGCTATCAGCTGTCGATATCGCCGCCCGACAAAGCCTTTACAAGGTACAGCCTAACAAGAATGACAACCACCTTGCGTCATGAAATACCGGACCCTTTCTGTAATCGCTAAGGTCCCAAGAGGAGACTGAAGGCTGTAAATGAACTCTTTTCGCAGCCGACATGTCAATGTCGGCCGCAATCCGCTCCTGCAACGCCACCGAGGCCTGAAACCCCAAGCCAGATTCACTTGGACTCTCTCTCGCCTGCGAGCTCGCCGCCAATGGGCGCCTGCATCAAGCTCAGACCTGCAGATGTCTGGTATTGCTAAATGGTCACAGTTTCTTTCAGAAGGCTAGTCACAAACACTGGTGATGGTCGGTGGCTGTGGTCCGGTGGTGGTAGTGGTCGTCGTAGTAGGATTTAGAAGAACTCGGGCTGCAAAGGTTCAGGTGGCCGAGGTCTGACGGTTTTTTGGGCGCAGATTTTGAATTGAGGCCTAAAGCCTGCGTTACAGAGTCGGGACTTATCTAGGCGCTGAAGCTGGCGGCGGATTTGGCTTGGAGATGCTGCAAGAAGAGTAGGGGACAGGCATGAGAGCTAAGAAGGGATTCGAGCAATTTCAACAAGAACTCTGTTCAAAAGTTTTCTGGTTCCTGCAGTATGCTTGAGTCTTCGTTGCGAAGCAGGACGCCTCCCCTTCCAGGTTCGGGGCAACCTCCTCTCGACACCCTAGATCAGGCCTTAGATCCGCTCGCTGCAGCCGAAGCACTGTTTCCCAGTTCCTCAACCCAAACCCTGCCCGAAACACAACGGGGTATTCAACCGGGTAGTGCTGAATTTTGCAGTTACACTCGCCAGAAGCAGAGACCGTTCAACCGAAAAAGATAACCACGTGGAGCACACGAAACGACTCGCGGTACAACTACAGGAGTTGACCGAGAAAGTACCCCGACAACTCCGACCCACTTCGAGCGCCTTTCACGAAGCCCGCAGGATCTTGGAAGAAGGCCTGGCGGGAAAAGGGCCCACGGTGTCTCAAAGGGCAAGGAAACCGGTGCTCTGTAATTGAAGGTGTGGCTGGGCTTGGGGAGAATTTTTCAGGCCTGTCACGGCTCAGAGTTACAGGGCGAACAGGCTGCGATTGTCGAGAGGGTGTAAGTAAGACATCCGAAGGTCTGGCGCTGTAGGGTGTACGTAGGATTCGATCTTGCGAATCCCAGCCTAGAAATCTTCAGAGCCCTCGCGACTCTTAAACTCATGGCCCAACTTCCCCTCAGAAGCCAGCTCGCTCTTCTTCTCGGTGTGGGCTTGGCAGCTCGACCATTCTCACCGAGACAACGACGACCGATTCTACTACCAACTACGACAAGTACTACAACAACCAACAACAACAACAAGTACTACTACTACTACTACTACTACGACCACTAGTAACTAGTACTGCTGCCGTTTATTGTAGCAGTTCGGGGGCCTCGAGGCGCTCATGGTCGCGAACGGAGAGCGTGTTGTCCAAGCGCTGGGCACGCCTTCTTGGCACTCACGGGACCGGCTGGGAAGAGAGCTTAAGCTTTTGAGGCTGGTGGCTCAGACCCGAAACCATGTGCACAGAACCGTCACGTTCCGAGGCCTTGATTTCCGAACGAAAACAAGCAGTCAACAACTCCCGAACACGCAAAGCACATCTTCAAAAATCCCTTCCCAATACATGTAATCTTGGAATGCCTTTTGGCACGTACCCTGGTTGAAGGCAGAACATGTCATGCGTGGGACGCAAACAAGCCATTTGGAGCGACCGCACGTCTCAAGAGCCCGGCATTCGCCAAACTAAGCCCCGCTTCGGCGTGGCAGGAGGTGAACCCTTAACGCCTGGTGTCGCAACCCTGAACCGACACGTGATCTTATCATTCAATAGAAAGGTAGATGCGGGTAGCTAGATGCGTGCCGCGCAGAGATCGGAGAGCCTCGTCACGGCATCCTGGAGCTTAGCGCTCACCTCCTGCAGAAACTCCGAAGCATTCTGGGGATGTAATCTACATGCGAAATTTGTGTAAGTATAGCCATATAACATTAAACAGTACAATAGAAGCTGATACGACACAATGTGCTAACACATTTTTGCTGATGTAGTGTAGTACAGTAAAGCATAATGTAATGTAGTAGGTTAGAGTAGGTCATACTGTAATAGCTATGAGCATGTTTGCTATTTACGTCCGGGCAGATGATCTGGGAGTGCTTGGGGGGTAGGGCCAAGGTTTCTCGGAGTTCGGCCCTATGGAGGTTGGTACCTTGAGTTTGTTTTCGGCGGGATTGCGGGCAGGTACTACAGCAAGGTTTCATAGAGATGTCTTCAAGAGCTCCTAATCAGGTGCCTACCTATCGAGTTCAGCGTTTGGGGTGTAGCGCTGGATTGAGTTGTTCGTCAGGGGTAAAAGAACTAGATTTCCTAGGAAGACAACAGGGCCGGTAACATTAAACGGAGTACTTGCAGCAGCTAGAAACCTCGACGTGGAAGGAGAAGACTGAGAAAACTTTGAGCCTTACCTCTCCGGACCCCAAACGAATGGCTGAGACCGATTTACAGTTCTGGGGAGTCGAGCTACGAAGCCGAAATCCGTGCATACGGGGCTCAATGTCGACCCCAAACCAAAGACCCTATCACAACCCAGAGAATTAACCCTTCAAATGCGCAACAACACATTGCAGCATCGCAGGTTTATTGTTATAGTTGTGAAGATGACCATGGTGATGATTTTGCTACAGTACCCGTCATGGCTTAAACCGGGTGCAGTCCCTCTCACTACTGCGACCACACCGTTTGCAACGTGACACAGCCCCGAAATCCAACCTAAACTTGAATCCGGCACTCCTTGAGGCGTCCCTCCGGAATCTGCATCAAAGCCGGCTCGCCGCCGCTGATCGCCGTGGAAGCAGCCTCCACTGCCTCCGACCGGTGTAAAGTTTTGAAGATTACAGTTGCCAACTTTGAGCACAGAGGTTCTTTCTTTGTTGGTTTTGGGATTTTGGGCTTCAGGCTTTTAGCGTGGAGTAGGATTCAAAATTCAGATTCTTTGGCACTGATGTCTTCTCCTCTGGCACAATAGTTCGTGCCGAAAAACGTCCAGCCAGGATCCGAAAGACAGCTGCAGATCGGGAAACAATGACAAGTAAAACGACAGAGTTGACCTGGAAGATCTGGGGCTTCGTAAGAAAGCGTACAGCCCCAATCAGGGTGCTGACAATCCAATTGAAACCATGACCTACGACCTACTTAGGCACTGGAGCATTCCTCGAGCTTGAACAAGGCTTGAATGCGCGGCGAACTTTGGTTCCCACAGGTATGTGTGGATCGTTCTACTTTGGAAGTATACGTATATATATATATATATGTAGATATGTTATGTATGTATTTATGATATGCAAATTGAATGCAATATACAATAATTTTCTACTCTGTAGCTTTGTTTCGGTTCAGATCTTGAACTCTTTCAGGGCTCAATGCCTCGATGTCCTTGTACAGAGACTTCTCGTTGCCGTTGAAGGTTTCAACCTCGCATCAGCTTTGGTGCTTTAGGCTACGGCTAAGGGGTTGAGGATGTCAGGACTTCAGGAATTCGCAAGGGTTCGGTGTCTTCGTCGGGGTGTTTAGGACCAAGCAGCAGGACACTATGGGACTTTGAGAGGTTGACCATCTGCCGCCAGTCCCATCCAATAAATAGGTTGTGCTTGAAGAATAACGACTCCAAAACCTTTGCAACAGAAAAGAAGCTAGCAGTGCGCCCAAAGCCCGTCGCTACGGCTTAGCTCGAAGCCTGCGGATTGATGGCTCCGACGCTCAACGTCTTTGGGTTGAGGGTTTAGGGACCGTTCAAGGGATCTTTGTAACATAAGGGCCTTCATAATTGGAATAGGGCTTTCGGAACAGGGCTTTGGGGCCCGTTATGCTATAATTATAATAAGGAACCCCAAAATAGTATTGGTAGTTTTTAAGGCCTACATTATCTATATTGTTTTGCTTTGCTGGAGGCCGGCCTTCGAATCTGCGCGAAGTTCAGCGCAGTTTATTAGGGTCCACCGTGTGTTCTCCCCGCGCACGAGGGTCGCATTCCTGTCTGTTAACTGTTAGTGCTCGTAGTGAAACTGTGATGATGCGAATATGAAAGTTTCCGAAAACAAATGGCCCGGTTTAGATTTTGCGGTGCCGGTCTTTATTGTTCTTATTCTTCTTCTCATTGCTATTAGTTTCACTATTTTGATTTTTGCTTTCTTGAACTCTGTTTAGTTCTTCGGCATGCATTTTTGCGTCACATTTTCGTATTCTGGAACGTTTCTCTTGAACTTCGGGCTCACTGTTATATAAAGGGGTTCATGGACATACTATATCAGGTTCTTGTATGGAACTTCCCATCGAGCCCAACCTCCCCCCTTCCTATTGGAGGTCCCTCCGAAACGGCAAGCCTTGTTAGCGTGGAGAACCCGCGCGGCGTCCAATGCGGCGGTGGCATCGTTGACCTGCTGACGGAGGAATAACACAGGAACCGTGGCGACAACTCGAACAGGGTTTAGGAATAAATTCGACAAGTAACAGAAGACTTTTTTTGACGAGCGCTGCAAGTGCAAATTGCTCATATCCCTCAGCTGCTGCGGTGTTTGCAACCACTGACTTGAGAATACTTGAGGAAACACCTTTGCTCTTGAAGGTATTAAAGCTTCTGGAATCTGGAAGATAAGCAAGCAGTCCTGAGAGAGACGGGCTTGATTGGCAAAGCACAGGTGTTGCCAGTACCATCAATGGTTGAAGCTGGTTTATGCTTTGACTGCTCGGACATGCCAGATAAGGTTGTAAGGTCTCACGTGCAACGGCATTGGGCTACACATGAAAGCCCCAGTGAATACAAACAACACTGGCAAGGTCTGCAAGAGCATCTCACCTGTGTTGGGCTGTTACATACTTTGCTGAGCAGACGGTTGGCCTATCTCATCTGGGCTCATTTCACATGGAAGAGCCACAGGTGTCCATCCGGCGCATGTCCAAGCTGCCTGGCCAGGGCACGTCCTCCATCTTCATTTTCCGGAAGAACACAGACCTTGTGTGCGCGAGCTGCCAGTACCACCTCCCAGTCGCTGTTGCGTATTGGCCGCACGGTGGGGGGCCGACCTCGTCGCTTGCCCTCGCGCAGCTGATCTGAAGAATGTGAATCGGAGCTCACTACTGCGACTGTCGATGCAGGTGTTGAAGCCGTCCTCCGCACGTTCGACGGACTTTGCAGCGGGGCTGATCCCCAGGCTCCTGTGCCCCAATCTGCTGCGACGACCGCTCCAAGCAGCTCAGCGGCACAACTGTGTTGCAACCTGCATGCTGATGCTCACTGGCGGCGGGCTTTCCTTGTGTAGGCCGGCCAAAGTTGTCGCTTCCCAGCCTGCGGGCTGCCAAGTAGCGACGCAACATTGTGCTGACTGGGCTGGAATTCTCTCGACTCATGGCTCCAGCTTCACGCAGGCCTTCAACGAAATCGCGAGCAGGCCTTCAACGAAATCGCGAGCAGCGATGGCAAGCTTCAGGTTCGCACGGCCTGCCGCCTCCTGCGCTGGCTAGCAGAAGCATGAGCGTAAACTCCGAGGAGGCCGGGCAACACCCAGAGCCACGCAGAAGGTCTCGGAGAAGTCGCTGCAATTGCGACGGATACAGTGGCACTCGGTCTCCATCTATGTTGAATCAAAACGGTCTGAGAACAGGTCTATCTCATTTTCCGGCAAAGAGGCGGTCCCCAAGGTCACAGACGCCCTGTGCAGATGGCATGCGAAGTGTCGAGAGCGGCATTCAAAAATCCCGTTGGTTGAACAACTCCGTGTGCGGCCATGCACTTGGACTCCCGTGTGATACAAGCCCGGGATGCCGTTGAGAAAGGTGTTCAAGCCACGATCTAGTCGGTGAAGATTGTAGATATGCAGCATCACGGCCTGGTGGTCCAAATCGGAGGCCCAGCTGCCGATGGACTAAGGCAGGAGCGAGGCGCTGACCCGGAGAGTACAATAAGCCGCTCGCTTCGCCTACGAATCGAACCTACCAAATTCTCGAAATACCTAAGTCTCGAAAGGCTTTGCGGCATGACAAAGCACCATCAATCAAACATAACAGGACCCTTCAATGACTCATTCCGATGGCTCCTAATCTAGGAACGCGAAGACTTAGAATGCCTGGACGCGCGACTGTGTCAGCCATAGTGGTTGTCAGAAGTGCTGGCGGATAAGTTGTAGCACGAGTGGCGGTAGCAATAGTCGAAGAGAGTATGGAGCTGACGATGACTACTCCCAACCACCCTTTGATCCCATCTGCCTCCGTCGCCAGGGCCGACATCGCCGTTGCCAAGCTCCTCACGGTCGCAGCTCTTCTGCCCGAGCCCGAAAGCGAACATTGACATATCAAATCACGGTATCTCAAAATCCCTAAAAAGGTGCCTATTACATTATCTTAGGTCCCTTACTATGAATGCACTTAGTTTGGGTCGGCTTCACAGCAACGAAAGCTCTAGGAAGTCCATGCCGTGGGAGTATCACTGAGTGCTCGCTCTGCTTTCCGGTTCTTGTGCCTTCCAATTCGCGACGGTTGGCAATGACAGTCCTGTTGAAGCACTGAACACTTTATCCAGGTGTTGGATCCACCAATCACGAGAAACCCAGACCACAATCAACGACCAGCCTGAACTGAACGCTTCTGACACCCCGAAGAAGGCCCAAACCCTGATAATGTTCTATCCTGGTATTCCAGGATATGGTAACTATAGTATATTGTTCCGACGAGTGGCTGCGCCGAGGCATTGGCTTCGGCAGCCAGTCCTGTGAGTTCCTGGATGCGCGCCTCCCAAAGCTGACTCGTGCACGTCCATTATTTCTTCGCAGGGTTTCCTTGACGGCCTGCTTTAAGGGTTCCTTCAACTTCAAGGGTTTCAGAATTTCCTTATTGGGCCCTTTGGGGTTTCCCTGACTGTGCCTGTTTTTTGAGACAGGAGCAATGAAAGATGGAACAGGGTTTGTGCAGAATGAAGGGTTTCTGGCAGAGGGTCTAGGATCTCGAATGCGGCTTTGCTTTTTCGATACTTCAACTTCGGCTGTCCTACAAAGGCCTGGACCTGTCTGGCTCTCCCATATAAGGTCGTGGCCATGACCACCCTAAGCTTCGTGCCCAGCAGACACAAAGATGCTGTCTGCTCGGCGTTGGCCTTCAGTCGGCCCTGAAACCACCGAGGCCGGCCTCAAGACTCTTAGCAAGATTCTGAACATGAGAGCAACCATAAGACTTTAAGAAAAAAGGGCAACCATAAGACTTTAAGAGCAACGACACGGATTGACAACAACAAGGGCAACGGCCAGCCAGTCAAGCAAGATCAGCCGCTGCCTGGCCGTCGGAAACCTCAACGCTCTTCACGTCATTGTTCTCCTGGCAAGTGGGACGCAGCCGGATCTTCTCCATACCGTTTAAGCAGGCAGTGAACTTCCATATTATAGTTGTTCAGCAAAGCATATTATGTATTGGTTGTGCATGTGGTCTCAGGATCTTTCTTACAAATCCGCAGGTCCGTAGGTGTCAAACACGACTTGAGCACAGAATCTCTTCTGTGTGCACGTCTACAGCATGCCCTGTCCACAACTCAACTTCACGACTTTGCAGCAGAAGCTCAGCATTTGAAACAACGGTCTTTACCCGTGAGGTTTGAGAGACTCTCCACACAAAGCCTCCGAAGGCGTCTGAAGCCCCCAAATCTTCAAACCTTAGTGACAGATGCAGAAAAGCCCCCAAGCAGCCCCCAGAACTCTCCTCTCCCCCCGAAGAAAACAGAGAGCTCGCAGGTGGTCGTCCTTGCACCAGCCGCGGAGCTCGGCGTACATGTCCTCATCGGCCTTCTGCTCCTTCTCCAGGCTGCCCTGCATCTCCTCAAGGGGAGAAACTTTTCAAAGAGGGGGTGCCACTCTACTGTACTACTCTGGTACTTCTGGTACTACAGTCAACCCACCACATAAGGGTGGAAGCCGGATAAAGGCCAAATAGTGCTGTTTGTCCCTGTACATGACTCTTGTGGACTGAGGCGATTAGGTTTCCAACTTTTGCGCTTCTACTGTATAACCTTTTGCGGAGCCCTTCAAACAAGTTTTGCCAAGAAGGAGCCTTCTCAGCAGGCGATTCTAAAGGGGCGGTTCCCGGTCCTTCAGCATGTCGACCACCTCGTTGACAGGTTTGGCGGCCGCCTGGCTCCTGGCTAAGCCAAAAGAGCAGCCGCAAAGGTGATAAAGGGGGCCGTAATGATTAGAATAGGGTTTTGGTGCCCGTTATAAGTTATACTATAACTATTTTAAGGATCCCACAAAAATAGTATTCTTCTTCTGGGTGGACAATAGTGCCGCAAGCAGCGCGTCCGGTCATGCTGAATTCGGGTGAAACGCGGGCCTGGAGTGCCAGAACGAAGCAGTCCCACTGCGCGGGCCTTCGCGCGAGCGGTCTGCGATGAAGGCATCGATCCAGGACAAAAACGAAGGCTGGGGCCGATGCAACCTCGAAAGGGTCGCCAAATCAAGGTCCTCGCCACAGATGTCAATCCTTTCCGCTGCTGTGAGACCCTTTGGGCCGTCACTTCGCATTGCGGGCAGGGTGGCTGAATATTCAGCCCAGTGACCATGTTTGACCCGTTTGCGGGCCTTGGTTTCCTGTGCCTCGACTTCGCGGATCTGAGGGACAGTCAAGGGGGGCGCAAGGAGGCAGGACCTTCGCAGGCAGCGGTCCGAATGCTTCAAATGCGCCTGAACCCGTGAAACCGAATGGTAGCAGGTAAGGCAACTGATGCATGTGTCACCGAAGGCAAGGTGACGAGCGGGCGAGAAAATGCCGTGGGACTTGGCAAGGTGAGCCCCCAAGTGCTTGCGCATCGGGAACCGGGCACTGCACCATTGGCACGCAAAGGCACCCGTAACACGGGACTGAACAGGTGCGGGGGCAGGACCAGAACGCTCATGTCGGTCCTTGTCAACACGCCATTTTTCAAGGTCGGCTTGGGCACATTTGCAGGCCCGTTTGACAGTCGCGACCCACCAAGCGGGCTTCTCCCAAACAAGCTCAAGCAGCGAATCAAGGGGGGAGCGAGCCGGGAGGAAACCAGCAAGCTCAGGAAGGTACATCTTGACGTGAGCGATGTCCCCTTCCAGCAACCCAAGCCATGAAACCGCGGAAACTTGCCACTGGACGCGGAGGAGATGTAGCAGTGGAGCCGGACCGGCCTTGATCAACTGTCGGAGAAACACTGCGCGGGCCAGTGCGAGAGCCAGGGGAGGGGGCGGAGCAGCGACCCTGCGCAGGACCTCGTAGGAGTGTAAGGTGGGATCACCTTTGCCGCGTTTCCAGAGGGATCGCCAAACAGATACGTACAATCGGGCCCAAAGCCTGCTATGTATGGCAGCCGTGAGTACGATCGCAGCGCTGCCGAAAGTGAATCGGGAGACCGCAAGAGAACGGAGCAGGAGGGCTCGGGTCGCAAGGGGAATACCCGGGGCGGCAAAGAGTTTGGCCTTGAGGGGGCGAATCACGCTAGCCGCCAAAGAGTGCCGGTAATGCACCTCCGGCGCCGGCGTCCCGGACGCAGTGACGATACCACCAAGGTGGCGGTATGCGGAAACAATGGGGAGGCGAACACAGGTGGAAGTAACCGCACTGCGGACTTCCAAGTAGGGGCCTTCCGCATCACGGAGCACAAGCGGATCTCCTTCACCCTCATCCTCGAGAAGGGTGGCTGTCTTGTCCCGTGCAAAAGTAAGGCGAATGCCTGCAACCTCAGCCTGTTCG